GCCTGGAGTGCAATGGTGCGATCTCGGATCACCGCAACCTTTGCCTTCCAGGTTCAAGTGATTCTCTTGCCTCAGCCTCCAGAGTAGCTGGGATTATAGGCACCCACTACCACACCTGGCTAATCTTTGTATTTTTAGTGAAGACAGAGTTTCACCATGTTGGCCAGGTTGGTCTTGAACTCCTAACCTCAGGTGATCCGCCCACCTCAGCCTCCCAAAGTGCTGTGAGCCACCATGTCCAGCCTTCAAAATATTTTTATAAAGAACATTTGGTAAAAAGTACAGATAGTCTCAAAATAAGATAAGCAGAGATTACTCAAACTTCTCAATGGCTCTCTAATGACTACCATGCTAGACATTCAAAATGCTCCATAACATAACTTCAATCCAAAATTTTCAGTCTATATGACACAATTTTTTACTTAACCTATTTATTGGCAAATGGAATATTATTTTTGAGGGTCTTTTTTAAAACTTACTCCTTTTTTTGAGATGGAGTCTTGCTCTTTCACCAGGCTGAAGTGCAGTGGCAGGATGCCGGCTCAGTGCAACCTCTGTCTCCCAGATACAAGCGATTCTGCTGTCTCAGTCTCCTGAGTAGCCGGGACTACAGGTGCATGCTACTATGCCCAGCTAATTTTTTGGTTTTTTTTAGTAGAGATGGGGTTTCACCATGGCCAGATGGTCTCGATCTCCTGACCTCGTGATCTGCCTGCCTCGGCCTTCCAAAGTGCTGGGATTATAGGCATGAGCCACTGCACCCAGCCTTAAAATTTACTTTTAATTGACAAATACAAATTATACATATTTTGTTATACATGTATATGTTGCTTTGAAATATGTATACATCATGGAATGGCTATATCAGGCTAATTAACATTTGTATTACCTCACATTCTTATCTTTTTTGGTGAGAACACAATGTACTCTCAGCAATTTTCAAGAATACAATATATTGTTTTTAACTGTGGTCACCATGCTGTACAGCAGACCTCTTGAACTTATTCCTCTTAACGAACTGAAAGTTTGTATCCTTTGACTAATATCTCCCAAAACCCTTCCCCGCCAGCCCTGGGTCACCACCATTAAATGCTCTCCTCCTATGTATTCAACTTTCAAAAATTCCACATGTAAGTGAGATCATGCCGTTATTTATCTTTCTGTGCCTGCCTTATTTTACTTAACATAATGTCCTTTGGGTTCATCCAGGTTGTTGCAAATGACAAGATTCCCTTCTTTTTAAGGCTAAATAGTATTGCATTGTATATACCACATTTTCTTTAATCACAAATGGAATATTATTGTTTCTTAACTAAATCCTGCCATTGTCTACCTGGATAATATTGTTTATACTAGTTCCTCTTCCTGGAATGTGTAATGTTTTGCTCGTCACCATATCCTCTAAAAATTACCCATTTATCAAGTCCTAGCTCAAGTGTCACCTCTTCCACAGTTGCCAGTGCTCATTTAAAATGAAAGAATTTCACTTTTCTAGCACCTTTTGGTATATCTATTTGAAGCAGATAACATATAACCACACAGTTTCCTTATTCCGGTACTCATGAAATTATCAGCCTCTTGAAAGCCATAATGATATAATAATATTTTACCATACATTCAACAAATATTTACTGAATCTTCACTATTCCATGTGAAGGTGGTATGAACAAGACAGAGCAGAACCTTGCTTTCATGGAATATAGGATCTAAGGAGGGAGGGACTTTTTTTTTTTTTGGAGACGGAGTTTCGCTCTCGTTACCCAGGCTGGAGTGCAATGGCGCGATCTCGGCTCACCGCAACCTCCACCTCCTGGGTTCAAGCAATTCTCCTGCCTCAGCCTCCTGAGTAGCCGGGACTACAGACACGCGCCACCATGCCCAGCTAATTTTTTGTAGTTTTAATAGAGACAGGGTTTCACCATGTTGACCAGGATGGTCTCAATCTCTTGACCTCGTGATCCACCCGCCTCGGCCTCCCAAAGTGCTGGGATTACAGGCGTGAGCCACCGCGCCCGGCCCGAGGGACATATTTTATAGATAATGAGCAAGTGAATACCTGGACAAGATAGAATAATCTCTGGTTTAGATTGAGTAGTTAGACAAGTTCTCTCAGAGAAGGTGATATTTGAGATGAAATCTCAATGATAAGAAGAATCCAATCACAAGAAGACCAGAAGAGGGCAAATGAGAAGTTATTGAGTTGGGTGAAAGTGTAGTGTGTCTGAAAATCACATGGAGGACAGTATAGCCGGAGTGTCGCAGGTGGAGAGGAGACTAGTGTGAGATGAGCTGGTAGGGATGGGCAAGAGCTAAGCACAGTAGGTTGGATTTCATTCTAACGTTTTACACAGAAGTAACATGATCTAGTTTACAATGTAAAGTGATCTCTCTGCCTGCTGTGTAGGGTTATACAGGGTTAAGAGTGGAAATACAAAGATTAATTGGAAAACCACTGGAGTAATCAAGAACATGAAAGTAGGTTGAATTTGGTGGTTAGGAGAAGAGAGAAATAAGTGGACACATTTATTGTGTCTATAGGGTTAAGCATAGTATCTTAAAGATGGTAGCTGCTCAATATATACTGCTGAATATATGTCTAAGTGCTTAAAAATAGTCTCACATTCTTAATTTCTGTATGATCTTCAAGTTTTTCCTGCTTTGATTTACCTCTTATGGCTTAATTTATTCCCACTGGACACTTGGGGAATCAAAGAGATAAAACTTCCAAATATTCAAGGAAATGGTATAGGTCTCATTACGGAAATTCACCTAACTAAGAGCTGACATGATGGGGTTTGGAGTTCATATTGTTAATCATGGAAAGAAATAAACTATTGGAAACATGGTAAAAAAGCATAATTTAAAATCTGCAATAGGATGAAAATGGACAGGGTATTCAAATACAAAAATCTACATTTAAAAAAAGAGCCTTTGGTCATCATCAGCTAAAACACTGTGCCTAAATAGAGAATGTGGGTAAAATTAATTTTCATTAATTTTAATTGGAAATGTTTCCAGTTCTTACTTTTGATTTTTTTTCTAAATATAGAACCTTCATCTTACGATCTTGATATGATGAAGTTCCTAATTTGTAGCTAATACTATGTTACTCAGTGGTAATGTTTATAAAATTCTAAGAGCACTGAGTGAGGCCTGCTTGGAATCGGAGAAAAGACAGGCAAGTCAGTGGGTTCTTGTTCTCTTTCACCTGTATCTTCCAGGACATTTAGATTCATACCCATGAAGATTCATCCTTCATTAGGAATTCAATCCAAATTCCTTCAATACAAAGCAAAATACAGAGAAAAATGAGATCAGTTTTTGCCACTTTCCACCTGAAATGCTAAATGGGCTCTGAACTGAGTGAAACCTGGCCCCATTCAGTGTGAAAACTGGCTGAAATCTGTATGAAAGGCAGTCTGGGTTTGTCAAAGTAGTTCATGAACTTTGGCCAAACTTTCAAGGAAACTGGTCCAAGTCTTAGTTTGTAATGCAACACGAAACCAGGTGAATTTCAGATGGTTTCAGGTTTCATCTTGAAAATTTGGCCTAGCTTTATAATCAATCATCACTCTTTGTAATGATGAAAGCCAACACACCTTTTTGAAAATGAGGACTGCATGCACACTGATGACAGCTAAGCTGTGAACCACTCTTTACTTCCTTTGCCAAAAGAAGATTTCTCAGAATGGAAACAGTTTCCCTCTTACCTGGAAAGGGTAAATTGAGTGATTTTGATACTGCGTGTAGAAAGAAATGATTCTCGATATGAGGAGACATGTCATGTGAAATAATCACCACGTATAGACCAAATGGCTGTATTCTAATCACTTAAGGTTATGAGAGTTTTATTTTATTCATATCCATCACAGTTGATAATGTCGTGTTTAATCTCCTAAAATGAGCTTTCGGCTTGAAGCTAGTCATCAGCCAGAGTAACTGCCATGAGAAATAAAATGCTGTGAAGCATAATCAGTATTTCCATATGAAGAAGTGGCTGAAGAACAAAAGGGAAAGTATAAGAAATCATAGCATAACTTTTCTCTAAGAAACATGAGGAGATAATATGACTACAAACCTTTCAAGTTTGCATCAACTGCATCTTTTGCAAAAATATCTCTATGCAGTATAAATGCATTTAATAAGTAACTAAGTACAGTGAGTTTCACAGAAAGACCTACATAGTTTGTTTTCAACCTGAAAGTTCTAAATAAGCCTTTACACTGTAAAAAATTACTCTATTCAACCAAATACTTGCTTTTGTGCATAGTGACATGAGAAAATTGAGAGGTATGTTGAACGGAGCCACTACATCATTGAAACAGTATGTCTGAACATTTGGGTAATAAGGCACAGATGTGAAGTAGAGGACTTGGCACTACCAAGGTAACAACAAAGCATTCACCATTGTGTTATAATGGTTACAAGGGCCATATCTGAGAAGCTTAAAAGAATGTTCCCACCATCCTGAAATGCTAAATTGTATTACACCTTTTATCTGCTTAAAAATCTGTAAAAACTAGAAATTCAAATAAGTATTATTCAAACTTATGCCAAAGAACATATATGTAAAATGCATTGACAATTTTATCTATAAAAAACATATTTATGCAAGAGCACGTAAAGTTTAACGTAGCAAAAGGCCAAATTCAATAGAAATCCATATGGCCTCTATATTGCGAAACAATTCATGCAAATCTGAAGGACCCAATAGTCACTGGAAAGGTGGCTGCTGTTGATAATTGGAAGTGATTCTGACCCTTACTCAGTATGTCTAATTATTGCAGAATTTTCTATTTATAGGAATCAAGTAAAGATACTGCAACAGAATACATGCAATTAGTTAATTAGGTGTTTTCACTTACAAGAGGTATGGAATTTTTGCCAGCCATTACCGAATCATGTGGAACAAAGGCAAGTATGAAGCTGGGCTAGTTTCATTCAATAAACTTGCATTTAGAAACTAAGTTTCTGCCCAGGATAGGTAGAGCACAACTTACCCGAGGTCCCTGATCACCTTGTTCTCCCTGTAGAATAGAACGGTGAGATGACAATTTTAGCTAAAATGTATACATAAGGTTCCTTAAAAAGATCAAAATGTAATACAGTATAGCTCATGCCAATATGGATCTCCACTAACTTTATTTATTTCTGCTATGCATTTTCCTACCTTGTCACCTTTAGGACCAGGAGGGCCCTGAAAAAAAAGAGAAAAAAAAAATTAATAAAAAGAAAAGATCTTGTAAACTGAATAGATCAGCCACATTAATGGAAAGATTCATTCAAAGAATACATAGATAGCTGTCAATGAGGTTTCTCAAGAAATTTTAGTTTCTAAACTATAATCATATTCGAATGTGAAACATATAACCATATATGTTTGTGCATATATACCTGCATATATCATGTCATAAGTACATAATGTGCTAAATAAATTTTCACAAATTCAACATATGTATGCAAGTAGAACCCAGTTAAAGAAAGCGAACATTGCCCGCAAGTTAGAAGCTCCTGTTGGAATATTTCCTTGTCACTACCCTCTACCAATAGTAACTTCTATTCTGATCTCTGACAATATAGATTAGCTTGCCTGTTTTTGTACTTTATGGACATAAACTCACAGAGTCTGGCCGCTTTTGCTTAATTAGTGTGAAATTCATCCATAATTTTGGGTGTAGTTGTAGATTGCTCTTACTGCTTTATGATACTCCATTGTATGATTATATCATCATTTATTTATTCATTCTACTATTGGCAGTCATTCGTTTCCAGGAGTTTCTAGGTCTTGACTATTATAAAAATACTGCTATGGCCAGGCACAGTGGCTCACGCCTGTAATCCCAGCACTTAGGGAGGCCAAGGTGGGTGGATCACCTAAGGTCAGGAGTTCAACATCAGCCTGGCCAATATGGTGAAACCCCATCTCTACTAAAAATACAAAAATTAGCTGGAAGTGGTGGTGGACACCTGTGATCCCAGCTACTTGAGAGGCTGAGACAGGAGAATCACTTGAACTCGGGAGGCAGAGGTTGCAGCGAGCTATTACGTCACTACACTACAGCCTGGGCAACAGAGCAAGACTCCCAAAAAAAAAGTGCTATGAACACAGTAATTCATGTCCTTTGTGAAAAATTACATGCATTTCTGTTGGATGTATATCCAGAAAAGGAACTGTTAGGTTATAGATTATACATATGCTCAGTTTTAGTAGATGCTGCCAAATGGTTTTTCAAAGCGATTCTTACAATTTAAGCCACATCAGCAATGTATGGAATTAAGTTGCCCCATATCACTAATATTTGATATTTTCTATCTTTTTAATTTTAGGCATTCTCGTAGAGATATGGTAATCTCACATCATGTTTTAATATGTATTTCCCCAGTGATTAGTAAATTGAACCCCCTTTTAATACATGTATTGGCCCTTTTTGCATCCTTTTTCATAAAGTGTCTCTTTATACCTTTTGCCCTTGGCTTACTGAATTGTCCTGTTGATTTGCTGGAGTTCTTTATCTATTGTATATTATACATTGTACATATGTATATAGGTAGATGTAGAGTTATTTATACATTTTTGAATGAGTCTTTTGTCAGATATATTTACTGTAAATATATTTTCCCACTTTGTTTACTGCCTTTACATTCTCTTAGAGGTGTTTTTGATGAATACCTCTGAGTTCTTAATTTTAAGAAACCTCAATTTAACACTTTTTATTCTTTATAGTTGTCCCTTTTTATATTCTACTTAAGAAATCTTTGCCTACTTCAGTGTCATAAATAGGGCTTTCTATGTTTATTTTAAAAGCTAAAAGCTTTATTATTTTATCTTTCATATTTAAATCTGAATTTATTAAGAATTGATTTTGTAAATGATGTGAGGTAAAAGTCAAGATGCTTTTTAAAAATGTGAATATCAAATTAACCAAACAACATTTCTTGAAAATGTATCTTTTCCCCATTATATACATTATTACCTTTGTCATAAGTTAAGTGACCCTATATATGTGGCTCTTTACAGGAATTTCTTTTTTGGGGGACAGCTGCCTATTCCTGAGCCTCATTGAGAGTTTCTTTACCTTCAGACAGAAATACTAGCAGGAAATACCAATTCTAGAGGCACTGGTTATGTTATGTTATCTTTTCTAGCTCTTAAAGATAAAGTCATGTGCCCACTTGAGGAGTTGGAGCATTTTGGAGTCACTTTCTATCTCTGATCTCCATTTTCAGCAGGGCTGGGGAACAAGGACAAGGCTAGACAGAAAACAGGCCCAGATTCTAGCACAGTACCCCATCCTAGGTGCCAGTAGAGACTGCTATGTCACTGCAGGTGGGAATGTACCAATGCTCCACCTTCTAAAACATTTCCTCCTGCTAAGTACCAGCTACAGAGAACTGCACCAGATTCCCATTCTCAGTGTGGCCCTCTGGTAACAGCTGTGAAATTATCATAAAATCAGTAATAACCACATCATGCCCTATACTTTATATCTTTTACCATCAACAAAAAAACTTTTTCACCTGTTGCATTCAATCTTTTCCACAATCCAATGAGGAAAGTATTATGATAATCCTTTCATAGATGCCAAAATGAAACTCAAAGCTTATCAGTATTAGGCTTCTTGTGAGTTAGCCAGGACTTCAACCCAGTATATGTGACTTTAAATGTAGAGGTTTTGACACAAAGTATTGGAATCCAGCTCTGGACCTAAATTCTCAGAAAGAGGGATACCTATCTGGTGGCTGCCTTCAACAGGGCCATCTAAAATGCTTCCCCACTACATTTCCACAGTGTCATAGACACTGGTCCCAACGTCTCAAGTTCAAAATGAGAGAAAGAGGAATTGAGGAGGAGTGGGGGCAGGGAGGGACCAAGATGATGGAATCAGCTTTATAAAACCTTTTTATCTCTTACCCCACAAATCATTTTGCCATTTAAAAGAAGAGAAAAAATTATTTTTGTTTTCAATAAATGTTTAACGTTCTTATTGTTTTCAGTGAATCAAGTAATGATGAGTGAGTACAATCAGAAAATTAAGTTTAAAGACTTTATTCAATTATTTTTAACCATGCAAAATGCTTGCTAAGGTTATTCAAGTAGGCTTTTATTTGTGGTGGGGCAGATGAAAGCCAAAGTGAAGAATAATGAGAGGGTATCTATTACCAAATTTTAAAAATACAATTGAGGTTCTAGTCTTGATTTAAGTAGCACGTTAGTTAACTTTATTTTGATTTTTACACTCATTTGTTGAATGTGTATAGAGCGTGGCAACATTGTAAGCACTGGTAGGATATATATGGTGGGAAAGGCTGATTTAGAAAGACATGGTCCCTGTACCTGAGAAGCTAAATAGCCTAATGCTGCAGGCAAACAGTTTCCATTTACTAGCATTAAGAAACAATGACCTCTAGAAAATCCAGCTACATCAAGATCAACTGCTACTATGGATGCTGCCCCAGCCTCCATATCCACCTCCTTTCCCGGTTCTCTTTAAACCTTTGTTTGCTTTTGCCAATGAGATTTCAGAGGCCACATCACTCATAGTACCAGTCCTCTAAAGGCACCTTGTTAGGTTACACAGCATTTTTAAGGACAAAGTTTTGTGAAGTTATTTGACAATGAGAAACAGAGACAACGCTTTTCCTCAAAGTCCAAGTACTCATGCCAAATCCACGTGTCAACTAGAACTCTTTAGCCAGCTTGCCCTGAGCAAGGATGCTTAACACATGAACACATGAAAATTTGAATTCACAATTGAGCAATAAATATTGCTGCCTCAAAAGAGAGTGTTTCCGAGCAGACAGCATGGCGTCCTGGCACCTGCCAGCTTAGGACAGAAGCAAAGCCGAGGTCAACCTCCACGCACAGCTGCAGTGGCTGCTTCGGACACTCCAGCCCCCACTTGTGCACTTGGGATTAACAGCAGGTGTTTCTTCTGCTCTAACTGAAATCCCACTCTTCCTTCCGAATTGAACCCTCTTCAAGCACTGAAAATATGTATTGAATTTGCAGAACAAAGTGGGCTACCTTAGTAAATATAGATGGTGTAATATTTCCAAAATTTAGAAGCCATGCTTCATTTCTAAGTTAAAAAATTACAAATGAAAGAAAGGTTTATTTGATCATTATCCTTTAAAATTAAAATTGGGATATGAATTTTTTTATCTTTAGCATTAAAAAAAAGCTAACTAGTATTAACTAAAGGATAGGCAGCAATACAAATTAATGGCTATTTGAATTACAAAGTATTTTTAATGGCACATTGCTATTTCCAACTAAACCAAGCTTAAAAATCTAATATTTAGTAGACACATTTATTTTTCAGGTAACAACAGTATCAATGTTTAGGTGGTAACTATTTGAAGATAAAACTTTGTTGCTCTAAGAAGGTTAGGGTAAATGGAAAGGAAGGATGGTAAAATTAGCAGTCATAGGGAAGTGAATAGGGAGTCACAGCTTTATAGAAGGCTCTTTCAGGGACTCGACCTGGTTTAATCCAGAATCTAAGAGTCAGATCTTTTATAGGGCCTATTTTAATAAATAAGTAGGAATATTTGAAATAATCTTCTGAATTAGTTTTATGTAATTAAATAATTAAATAAGTAGGAATTAATAAGTAGGAATGAAATAAGTAGGAATAAATAAGTAGGAATTAAATAAGTAGGAACATTTGAAATAATCTTTTGAATTAGTTTTACGAAATTAGTTTTATGTAATTTAATCCTAAGGTTAATTACATAAATAAGAACGTAAGGGTGCTAATAAAGTTTTTATTCATTAGTGTTGTTAGTAATTAGAATATTTCTTGTAGGGCATTGTTGGAATGTTATTAATTTCCTACCAAAGGATTTATAAATTTCAGTGGCAAACTTCAAATTGGCCCTTGTTCAAATGGCTTTACATTCAGAATTTGCACAAACCACTTTTCTATTTGTAAAAAACCTTTAATGTGGGTCTTGGCCTATGCCAATTTAAGTGTCCTCAAATGTATTCTGCTTAAGTAACTAAGGTTTTAGCTTTCTTCTATGTTCTATTGTCTATTTCAGTTAAATGATAAAACCAAACTAAAAACAAAGAGAGGCACAATGAATGACACTCAGGAAAATATTGAATTTCAATCTACATAACAGCAGTGGAAATACAGTTGGAAAAGGGAGATATATTCCTAGGCCTGGAGTAACCCAATCATGGTATTTTAT